TTGTGGTACTTAAACTCAGGGTTTATACCTTAAGCCAGTCCACCAGTCCTTTTTTGTGTGTTAGATGTTTTTGAGATCCGGTCTAGCAAACTTACTTGCCAGGGCTGGGTTTGAACCATGATCCTACTGATCTCTGCCTCCTTAGTAGCTGGAATTACAGGCTGAGCCACTGGCACCCGGCTTGCAACTGCTTCTTTAGCTTATTGGCTGCTCTAGTGACTGCTTCTCCTCGCTAGCATGACAACCCTTATGGAAGATTTTATATTATCCTCTACTCAGTGGTGAACACTGGCCCAGCAGTGCCAAAATAGGACAGGCATTTTATGAGGAGGGCCTCATAAATATTTATTGACTCTTTCCTCCATTTCCCATCTCCCAACTTGCTGGCTCTCCTCATACTAAGATCCCCCATGATCTCTATCATCAAAGGAAAGTTTCAGTCATTCCAATTTGTTTCTTATTGAACCTCTATGTTGACTACTCCATCTTTTGGAAAATGTCTTCTTCCATGACTTTTACAAGCATCCATCCTTGCTTTCATCCTCTTCAGATCCTCCTGAAGGTTCTTCTCATGCTAGTTCACCTTTCCAGGTTGGCCTTTCTCAGGGTCTAACCAATGTCCTTCTCTACTTACCACCCTCCTTGAGTCACCATGTCTTCCTTTTCCAGTGGTTTTCAATAGCACCATGTCACCTGCCTTTGAAACGCTGTTTTTCCCTCTCGCTTATTGTGTTGGGCAGGACCTCCAGCATCTCTGAATAGAGATAGTCATAGTCTTGTTCCTCTAACTAAAGGAAAACTTTCCAAGTTTCCATGATTAGCCTTAGGCTAATGATTCTTTTTGTAGCTGCCATTTGATAGTTAGGGAAGTTTCCTTCTATTTCTACTTTGTTAAGACCTATTATAAAAAACGGATGTGGGATGTAGATCAGTGGTAGAGCATGTACTTAGCATGTCTAAGGCAAATTGGTATCCTTGGTTGGTAAACCAACCTTACATTCCTGGATATATCCACCTCAGACATGACCCATTACTTTATACATATTACTGGTTTTTTTTTTTTTACACATTGCTGGACTCATACATTAATATTTTCCCATCTGTGTTCATGAAGTCATTGACCTGCAAGGATCTTTTCTAAGACTGTTATTATCAGGTCTTGATATCAAGATTATGCTAGTATTATAAGATGTTACCTCTTGTCCCCTAGTGTGGAACAGTGTGTAAGATTAGGATCATCTGGTCTTTGAAATGATAAAACACATCAATAAAAACCTTTGGACCTATAGTTGTTGGTGGTGTTTTGTAGGAAGACATTTAGCTACCAATCCTATTTATTCAGTAGCAATAGGATTGTTCAGGGTTTTGACCTCTTAAGTCACTTTTATTAAACCACATTTCTCTAAGAAGTTATTTCATTCAAGTTTTCAAATATTTAGCCCAAAATTGCTCATAATCTTATTTTTAATCTTTAGTTTTGCTCCTTTCCATCCTTAATTTTATTTGTTCTTTCTCTTTTTCTTGATAAAGTTTGCCTGAACTTTGTTAATTTCATTAGATTTTTCAAAGCACCATTTTCCTCTTTACTGGTTTTCCTATTCATTGTTTATTTGTTTTGCTTTTTTTATTTCTTTGGATGTGTTCATTAATGTGTCCTAATAATAGCTTTATTAAAATACAGTTTATATCCCATGTTACAATTCACCATGTAAAGAATAAACCAGTAATTTTTAATTTTTTTTTGGTGGTACTGGAGGCTGAACTCAGGTCTTTTGCTTGCCAGGTAAGTGATCTGCTACTTGAGTCATGCCCCAGCTGTAATTCAGTGATTTTAGTATGTTTGTAGACAGAGAGATTGGCAGGTAGATAGATAAATAAACAGATACAGATATTCATGTAGTTAATTCTGTGCCCATTAGCCATCCCTTCTCATTCCCCTTACTCTACCCTCATCCTTAGGCAAAAGCTAATCTAACTTTTGTCTCTACACATTTATTTATATTTCATATAAATGGAATCATATAATATGTGGTTTTCTGAGAGGAGTGTGTGCTGGGATTGAAACCAGTGCTTCATTTATGTTCAATATTTTCTCTACCACTGAAATACATCCCCAGCTCCAGAGTTTTTATTTTTATTTTTTGCAGTACTATTGTTTGAACTCAAGGCCTAACGCTTGCTTAGGCAGACACTCTACCTCTTGAGCTACTCTGCTAGTCCAAATTTAGTATCTTTGCAGTAGGAGCTGCATAAGCAACAGATCATGAAAAGAAAAAAAAAAGAGCATTTAAAGTTGCACATTTTCCTTTAAGTATTTTTTACTTTTTAATCTACAAATATTAGTAGGGCTGTTGGAGTGGCTCAAGTAGTAGAGTGCCTGCCTAGTAAGTGCAAGGCCTTGAGTTCAAACCCCAGAATTACCAAAAAAAAAAAAAAAGTACAATTAATAATCCAGGAGAGGTTTACTCCGTGGCTTCAAGAACACCTTGGTACACCACAATGTACCAAACTTGAATTTAATAAGCATCAGTCTATACTAATCATGAGAGGATTTATCCTTCTTTGTATTTAATAGGATTAATTTATTCATTCTAGAGATATGTGTCGAATGCCTACAGTGTAGCATCATTATATTAAGTGCTGAGAACAGAGAGGTGAAGTAGAGACCTGACATCACAAGCTTTAGACAACTGAAAAGAAAAAAACAAACAAAACCAACAAAAGAAAAACCTACCTGTAATACTGTATTATAATGCTAGGATAAGAAATGGTGGAAACAGGAGACATAGAGGATAAGATTAATTTTGTGATTGGGAAAGGCATTCGGAGCAGGGGAGTTGTTTCCTTCAAGGCTCTGAAAGATGAATTCGCAGGAATTTGCCACATATATGTAGCAGAAGAGTCTTCTAGGCCATTGGAACAGCAAATGGACGGTCCTAGATTTTTCTGAGGAAGGAAAGATGTGCAGTCTGTCAGGATAGAGTGGGAGAAGAGGTGCAGGATGAGGGAGACGGGGCTGGAGAGCTCAAAGACACTAATGGTGAAGGGCGATTAAACCTTCACGGAGAGAGCTTGGACCTCATTCTAAAACAGTGGGAGGCAAATTTGCTCAGTGTTTGCTGTGGCTGCAGGGAGAGAGGGCCAAGGCCCAAACTAGTAGCTGAGAGACCCTTCAGAAGGCTCTGGCAATATCCAGGCTTAGACTAAGGAGTGTTCATGAAACAATTTAGGTCTGGTAATGCATTAGATATAATGGGGAGAGGGGTGGATTCCTGTTTGTGATCTGGACTTGAGACCCAGTGACTGGCTATCATTGGTTATGATAGAGCAGGTCTGGGGGGAAGACAGTGAGTTTAGATCAGGACAGGTGCTCTTGGGCTCCTCCCCATCTCTTGGTCTCACCTGAATTTGACCCTCTTCTGGGGAAGCAGCTTCCTTAGTCCTTGCAGGGGAAAGATGTCTTTTCTCTCACATTCCATGGTTCTCAGTGC